GGTTGCCAACATATTCCCAATTTTAACCCCTTTCCTCACAATTTAGGATTTATCTATATATAATTTATCTACACACAATACCCTTTAAGATGATATGCATTAGAACTCTGTACAAAATGGCCCAAGCTCCATACAAAACGGGACACGGTTCTTTATCCCGAAATGGTTGTGTAATAATGCTGTTTTTCTATCAATATAAACTAGTTTTGATATGTGAGAAGCAGTTACGTGGACGCACAACACTACTGATAATGCGCCGTGTTCGATTCTCGGCGTCCTATTATTCGGCGCACGCCGCTTCCACTAACTTGCACCAAATTTCAACTAAAAAGTTATATGGGGCCAAGTCGAGCCTTGTGCTTTGCTGTTTTCGTGTGTAAAGCAAGTATTGTTTTAAAAATTGTATTCAAATAGAAATTTAATTTATCAAATTAACTTTTATGAATAACATTTTTCTCTTTCTCACACATAAAACCTACATGTTTTTCGTTTTTCAGAAAAAAATCGGAACTTTGCCCAAATACATTGCACTTCATTTTATCCAGTCGTTACAATTGTTTGATGGATGCCATTAGTTGCTGTTAAGCTTTGTCTATCACTGATTTTTATATTTTGAAGCTATGAAAAAGGAAGCGATGAACACAGTTCACAAAGAAACGATGAACCTATGCAAAAAATATGCGTTCGTTTGATTCAAAACGTTGTCCTTTTTTGTCCTTCTTCTACGCTGCTTGTTTAGCTTGACATTTACACAGGCACAAACCAATAGGAACAGAGGCAATCAATATAATCTGCAACAAAATTTAAACCAAATTAAGAAGTTATTCTGTTGAAATTTAATCAATTCGAAGTTTACTCACAAAACAAAAGTGTGCTTGTTTCAATTCCGTGTCGTTCCCACATCCAGCAAGGCATTTCATGTCTCAATTGTAAGTTCACACGTTTTCCATATTTAATTGTTTGTGCGCACCTGAAGAATCAACTGAACTGGTTATAACTCATTTAATGTATTCTTTATACCGATACATAGTTTATATTCCAATAATCATTACCATCTGTACCACAAACCATACGTGGTTGAAACTCCATAGTCATTTCACATTTTATTGTTGGATCCCAGAAGCTTTTGGCTTCTATTTTCCAGTCATTGGTATTAACCGCCATGACGACGAAATAAATAAAAATTATTTTGTATTACATTATTAAATCTCAGTATTCAATACAATAAAATATTCCCAAATGAATGATAGCATACGAATTTATTACGATGTTGTTTTCTTGATAACAAAAGCCAAGTTTCAACAAATTTAATAAATTTCCGGGCAATTGATATTGGTTCTGACGTTAAAACTATCATAGAAAATATATGTATGATGTGAAGAATTTATAATCTCTCGACTTATATAGTAGGGTGGATCGATTTTTAAAATCGCACAAAATCAAAAACCCTGGGTGCGCGTTCGATTTGGCACCTCAAAAGAAGAAACTTTTGTTCTGGGACATATGCCGAAAAGTCGATTCCCACAGTGCCCACTCAATTTTTATCTGGATCATTTTTTGATGATTTTTTCAGACTATTTGTTGAAATATCTCGAAAAATACCCACTTTTCTTGCATTCAAACTATCATATTTGGATTTGTAGTGAAAAATTACATAAAAATAAGTCGGTTTGGAATCATTCCAACGCGATTTTGTCGCCTTCGTAGGTCAAAAATCGTCCAAGTATCCATTTTTTGGCTACTTTTCCGCAAAAACTCACCTCTGGACCCTCAAAAAACCTGAAATGCATGGCCAAAATTGACTTTATTTAGTCTAATTTTTGACGAGGAATTCAAATCTGATCAATAGATGCACATAAAATAGTGATTTGGTGGCTCTACAGGCTCGAATATACTCGGAAATGGCCAAAAAGTCGCCATTTTACGCTACATATAGCTGAACTAGTCCAGTTTTATTCGAATTTGAAACGTCTGAAGAGCTATTTCTACTTGATTTTTGACGTAGAATTGATTTCCGGTTTCATTTGTATAGATTTATGTGATTTTTGTGTCGTAAACTGCGTCCATTTTAAGCAAAATGAGGAAATTACGCCCATGAGCTTCGGTTTAACAGTGATATTACCTCACTGAGCAAACAATTTCTACCTTTGCTGCCTTTAAACTTCTAGTGTGATCCCTCACAAACATTTTGAGTGCCCATATGACCAGATCAAGTGATGTGTTCATATATTTTTGGGCTCATATTCGGTTGGTTCAATTTCAAATCTTGGAAAATCGACTTTTGTTCAAAAAATTTCTAGGTATACAATTTCATGGTTGGTGTCTTGGTGGAAAGTTATTTTTTCTCAAAAATATGGGCAGTCTTCTCAGACAAAAACTCCAAAAAGTGATTTTTTGAGGTACTTGTCGAACAAAAGTGACGATTTTTACGGATTTTGTTATGAAATTATCATTTTTTGTTCGAGAGGTACCTCAAAAAATCTTTTTTGGGTAGGTAACTTGGTAAAAAGTTTTTTTCTGTGAAAATATTGAGAGATACCAGTCTACAGCCCATAAAAGTGATTTTTTGAGGTATCTCTCGAACAAAAAATGATAATTTCATAACAAAATCCGTAAAAATCGTCACTTTTGTTCGACAAGTACCTCAAAAAATCACTTTTTGGAGTTTTTGTCTGAGAAGACTGCCCATATTTTTGAGAAAAAATAACTTTCCACCAAGACACCAACCATGAAACTTTTTTTCACCCTATTATATAGCTAATTATAGCAATATATTGAAAATGTTTTGAATATTAGCTTTGACCATTATCAATTCCAATGGGAATGCAATTAAAGATAGACTAGTTTTGATTGACTTCAAAACCGGTCAAATTAAGCATAGTAATCTAGAAAAGAAACCGATACGTTTATGATAAAAGAGAAAAAATGTTTTTTTTTTTAACAGCGGTAATGAACTTGATACTATTGTTCAATTGTTAGCAACTTGTTTTCCTTTGCATAACATGTTTTCCGTTTTGATATTATGTATTATCGTTGACAAAAGAATGTATCTACTATGAAAAACACAGATATCGTTTACTCGTTTACGTTGCGCTCATAACAATGAAATATATATAAACCATTGTAGATTAATACGCAATATATTTTTGTATGTATTTTTGTAACATTCTTTTGTCACCGACTATACTTATCTTGTTATCAAAAATACTCGTGCGCATTTGGTATAAACAAATCAATTGCCCATTTATATTTTAACCAAAACGTTGAAATTTCACAGTTCAAGTTCATTCACTGAATGTGCACTGTGGAGCATTGTATTTTGTGTCTTAAAAATGAATTTTTCTATCACTTTCATTACAGTGATATTTACAGCTTTTGGTTGTATTTTGGCTGCATCCAATCGCCCAAATGTTGTAAGAGGTAATTACAACTCAGTTTAATTTTTTTTTCCAATGATGATGGATCATAATTTAATTTTTTTATATTTTAAGAATTTTTGATTCATCTTCTTCGAGAAAGCGATGAAAAATTGTTAAAGGGGGGGGTCATCGGTGAGTTATTTAAAATGTTAAAAAATTATATATTCTTTTTTTATTATTATAAAAACTTGATTTAACTCTGATTACTATCACATTATTATATCCACATTATTTTATATTTAGCCCGTGCAAGACGAAGAAGAAGATTTTCTGAAAGGGTGTTTTGAAATCTATGCGAAAAAAAATTCGTAGTGAGATCAAATTTTTGGCGAGGTCTTCGATTGATATTCACGCTTGGAATGCGATCACCCTCTATGATTACAACTCGAAAGGGCGATATTTTCCTGATATCAGTGAATATTTAAATCGATGTGAAAGTTTATTCGATGGCAAGGTGAACATATCGTTGCAACCATTAAATAAGTATCGAAATGATTTTTCTCGTCCACTTCCCTCAACAATGCTTGGAGTAAGCTCTTGCAAACAAGTGGTATTAAAAACGATTTGAAACTAAAATGTAATATCACATTCCTTACAATTTCAGGCGAGAAATTTATGCGAAGAATTGTGTGTATTGCAAGCAATTCGTGGGGCTGTTTTGCCAGATTTTGATCCAGCTAAATATGAACACATTTTCAAGATGACTTCAGTCAAAATTTTGAATACCGCCGATGATCCAGTTCTTTTGAATGTTATATCGAAAATGTGTGAAAAGATGTTCGATGTTCATATAAACTGTACATTTGAACGGCACAACCAAATGCTTGACCAAACAGAAAAGGTTTTAGTAGAATTTCTACTCCAGACTACGGTCGATATTAAACATCATCTAAAATACAGAGCAGACCAAGAAAGTGTGGACTTACCAAGCGGATATATTGAAAGTGCGCTTGCAGCCCAAGGCGACGAAATTTCAGCACAGAATTTTATAGATTACACAGATGAATAAAAAAGAACTTTCAAAGAAATATAGTGATATTTTTGTTGAACAATGTTTACACATTTCAATTCATTTGATTCTGTGAAATTTAGTTCATTATTATTCAGCTATCACTATCACTGAAGGACGCTTAAAGCAATCTATTGAAATTGTAATTAGGTATTGAATCATGGGCTTCGAATTATCCATTGAAAATAATACATTTTTCAACGGATCTCACGTATATTCCCCATATCACGGCTCATCTTAATCCTACTTTTACCAGACACTCTCCTAGCTAGTGGTCACAGTTGCAGCTACTTCGCGTGAATTTCGAATCATTGTAGTAAACCCATAAATGATTTCTATTGAATGTATGTTGACCTGGAGGAACAGATCTCGGGCAAAAATCATGTTTGCGACAGCAAACGTCAAGACTCTTGTCTTGTCCCACCCCAAATCATTGGAGTGCATTGCGACATTACCGTTTCCACAAAATTTAGTTCCTGAAATAAGAAAAAAATAAATTTTGCTTAAGTTGATAATAAGCCTATTTTACCGATTAATATTTGAGCAACGTTTTCATCTTCTTGGGTTTTTGAAAGGTCTGTTTGAGCCAAAGCACTGTCATGAAGACAGCAAGCAGCAAATGGAAGAAATACAATTGTTTTGTAGAACATTTTGAGTTGATTAACCCTTTGATGCACAATTTTTTGTTTTTGAATCATTTTGATATATGTTTTGTGCCACGATAAATAGAGAAAGACCTCATACTTAGATTTTTGAAAAATTGCGTATTTGTCGAGAAAATCGGAAAAGAGTCAAAAGTGTCAAATCACTATAAAAGCTTGAAAAAATTAAATTTTATAAAACTAATGATGCAGAAAGTTAAATTGATGTGTTTTGGTCCTACGAGTCCAAATTTGACAATTGAAAAGAATGAACAAATCCACAAGATAAGAGGAGGAAAAATGTGGAATTCTGCTATAATTTCGCATTTTTTTTACAGCAGTACATGAACAGAAAAAACTTTCCATTCAGCCAGCCGATTGTAGCCTGTAAAGTATAAAATGAAAGCTAGTTCATTTCCCTACATTTGTTTCCAAACAAGAATGTGAAAATATTCAGTGATTTTATAGCTATTGCGTCTGGCGTATCTGGTTACTTTAGGAACCGAAATGTGATAAAGGGTTAATAAACTTGCACTGATCAAATTGTCAAATGCAAACGAAATATTTATAAAGCAAGCGAAATACCATAATTTGTACAATCACCAAATAAATCGGTTATAATAAAAGTAGAAATTACACATGGTATGTTAATTCAGTTTAAAATTCAATAGTGATAGTTCCTTATCAATTACAGACGATTTGATTTCGTATCGGTTAATATGAATGAAACAAAATCCAATGTCAATCAAAATGCATTTTTAAGGTCAAGAGCTCTTTTGATAATGCATCCCGCCGTTGGCATAAAATGCAAGATGAGCTTTTGTCGAGAGCAAACACACACATACGCAGACAGACACACTCACATCTTTATCTTTTTCACTTACTACTTTGTACTATATTAATTAGAAATTTAGCCGTACAAAATGAAAGCCATTTTTGCACAAAAGAGAGACACACACACTCACAAAACGCCACAAACCGCACGATCGAACGATAGTGTCAGTACGATGATCGACAAATTTTCTGAAGACTTGGACTGAACAGGTCAACTCCCTTGTTACTAACTTTTTTTTTGCCCTTTATTGGTCATCACTTTTCGAGTTTGTTCCATGCTAGGTGACATTTTTGATAATAACTCAATTTGCCCACACGAAATATCGCTCAAAATTGGCTGAGAGTCTTGTTTCGTCGTCAACATTACCTACTAACACCCATATGGTCGATCAATCATGGAACACACTCGAAAAGTGATGACCAATGAAAGGCAAAATAAAAGTTAGTAACAAGGGAGTTGACCTGTTCAGTCCAAGTCTTCAGAAAATCAACATATTGAGAATCCCTATTCCCAAATCAAAGAAAATGTGATTTTCTACCGATATAGCCACTTACATTACATATTAACTCCCCTATTATTTAATCGACCATTGTTGAAAAAAAACGCCAATTGAGTCATCATTTAAATATTCACATCAAATAGTCGGTCTGTCACCCGAACAGGACAACACATGGAATCATATATTCCGTATGCGACTACATTTTTTTCGTTCCAGATAATATTTCAGAATTTAAAATTCTGGAAACACCAAAAAAATCTTGCCTCCAACTAATGGTTTTGAACGCGAATCTAGAGCATACATCCAACACGAGTTCACCATGGTATCCCATGAAAGTTTCATCGTTGAAACGTTTGAATTTGGCAAATGCATCGATTCGTGCTATCGGTGACAGTTTGTTCAGCAGTAACAATAGTATTTTGGAATGGGATCTAAGTCACAATGAGGTGGTTACACTGCGACGAACACAATTTCAAAACCTGAAACAGCTACGCTTGTTGAATTTGATGGACAACAGTATTAAAACGATTGAACAAAATACATTTGAGGATCTCAATCAGCTAACACATTTGAATTTACGATTCAATCGAAAACGAGCACTTGAATTGCTCGGCCGCCTGAATCGATTGAACGTTCTGGATTTGGGTGAAAGTCTATTATATAGGGTATACAATGCATGTCAAGCAAAATTCATCATTTTCCTATTTTTCCTATGAACAATGTGTTTCGTAACATGGATGCACTGATATCGCTGCTGCTTGATAAAAATTAAATTTTCATAATTGCAAATGGTGCGTTCATTGGTTTGGACAGTTTGAGAAAATTGAATTTTTCGAGCAACAGTATACGACAAATATCGACCAGTTATTTCCAGGGCATGAATAAATTGCATACATTGGACTTGAGTGAAAATTCTATAGCTAACATCAAAAGCTATCCATTTCGTGAGCTGCGCTCTCTGCTCGTTTTGATTATTTCCAGTAATAAACTCACCGATTTGGACGATCAATCGTTTGTCAGTTCGACCAAATTACACACACCGATACTAAAGAACAACACACTGGTGAACATAGAAGCCGACAAATTTTTCCACCTTCTATCAATATTACATTTGGACTTGAGTTCGAATTCGTTACGACCCATCAAGCGCAACATGTTCGGAACTGAAATTCTTCCGTTGCAAAAACTTTTTCTTACGAACAACCGAATTGCAAAGGACGACGATAGTCTCCCGTACATTTGAACCATCATTTTGACGTCTCCTTTTCCACCATATAGATTTGCATTTGAGACTTCAAGTCTCAATGCAAAAATAGGCGGAGAGAGTGGAGACGCCACAATGATGTAAAAACTATTTTCCTCCTTTAGCGTACGGAACAACTATTTTGGTGCTGCATATCGACACCTTATCATTGGCTCACAATAAAATCGAGTCGTTACCTGAAGCTATTTTTAAACCGCTGTAGCACAACAACAAAATCGAATGGATACCACAGAAAACGTTTGAAGATATAAGCCAACTAACGGAGCTACAGACAAAACATAATCGACTAACATTTTTGCCAACAACAAAGAAAGCATTTAACAATTTGCAAAAGCTATCGGTTGAGGGCAATCCCTGGCAATGTGCATGTTTGATGGAAATTTTTAATTTTGTAGCACAACAGTCGCAACGTCGACGAATCGAGTATTATAGTGCGAACAATCCATTTTACTCAGGCTTAAAATTGTTATGCTACGAACCACCCGTCAAACCGGCTGCACCATGCGTTCGTGACATTGACTTGGTGAGACAGTACCCATATGCTTCCTCTGCGGTGAAACGAAGCCCGCCGCGTTGAACAGGCGAGATAGTGCACACATCATTAGCGAGAGCAGTACAGCACACTGTCCTGCTCTCGCTTCAACACACACTGCAAGGCGCATAATACGAACTGAGCATAGAAGCGTAGAGAGCCAACACGCACCAGTACGCATGGCTACTACGATTGAGTGTTCTCAGTCCTGTGCTTACTCAATCGTTGTAACATGTATAGTTTGGACTAATAAATAGTGACTAATAAGATACTTACTACTTATTACTAGTAACTTCTAATAAGTAGTAATAAGATGCAATCTTATTACTCTAGTAATATATCTAGTGAGTATAGTTATTAGAATGTTATTGGTCGA